AAACAATTACAAATTTTAAATTGTATGTTATTCTCCCAAGATGTATCATCCCTTTGACCAGTGTATCCACACTGCATGTGTTAACCATGCATTAGTCCCTTAATAATTACCTTTATCATTAAATTGACTGTCAAAATATCACATTGCTTATGTTCAAATAAGTCTCATCTTACTTAATAATGGCCCCAAAGTACAAAACAAAGATATCTGTAACTTAGATATGCAAAGCAAAGCTGTAAAATGCTTCCTTTAAGTGAAATAGTAAAATTTCTCAACTTAATAAGAAAAAAATTTTAAATTAGATGCTGAGGTTGCTAAGATTTATGAAAAGTGATTTTCTACCTGCAATATTGTGAAAAGAAGAAAAAGAAAATTGTGCTAATTTTGCTATCATATTTCAAACTGCAAAATTTGGCCACAGTGATTCGTTAAGATGAAAATAAAGCATTACATTTTAGGACTTGGTGCCACTCATGATTTTCAACATCCAGTAGGGGTCTGGGAATGTATCTTTTGCAGATAAAGGGAGACATCACTGTATATGCCTACTGACTAGACCACTTGGGCTGCTAATTACAAAATAGTGCAGAAATTCATTGCTTATGGTTTTAGAGGCCAGAAAATCCAGGATCAAGGCACCAGCAGACTTAGTATCTGGTGAGGAACTGTTCCTCATAGATAGCACTGTCTATGTGTTTTCACTTGGCAGAAGGGGCAAATTCCCTCAGGTCTCCTCTAGGAGCACTGACCCCCCCCTTATGATGGTGAAGCCCTGAAGACTTAATCACCTCCCAAAGTTTCTACCCCCTACTACCATCACATTGGATGTTAGGTTCCAACATACACTGCACGGCCAAAAAATAGTGTGAGGGACTTAAGGAAAATGGTCAAGTGATAAGCAACAACAACTCAGCCTCTCTGAGATTCAGAATCCACACACTGGAAAAGAGTAATTTGAGGAAGAGAAAAAAAGGGGTGGTAGATCCTGGAAACCAGGAATAATCTTACAGGAAATTTAAAACTTATAGAGAAATTGAAGAGAAAGAACACAATGTAGAGAAGGAAAGGGACAGTCTGTATTTTCTCTTCAGGTTCCAGTTCATGGCTCATTAGAAAAGAAGACTGAATTACAGAGACAAAATGAACGTTCAGGACTCCAGAGGACTTCATAGAGAAACACAGCGATGGAACAGACCTGTGGATGCTATGATGTGCAACAGCTGGTGCATGTCTCCGGTCCAAGTGCCTACCATATCCTTAGGAGAGAGTGCGTCATTGGACTACAATCCGGAGGGGAGCTGATTGTTTAAATTGGGGACTTAGAGCAGTGATGAGATGGCTTCAACTCAGGGCTCCTAATTTTACATTCCCACAGTGACTGGGTGGGACAGGGTGGGACAGAGCCACATGACCAGAAAGCCACAGTTAGGCTGGCAAGAGACCCCCTGAGGAGTTTAAACTGAAGAACATAGGCTATGGACCTATGGCCAGAGACCAGGCTCAGCGTGAATTACTCCAGAGTAAGTTTGGCTTTGAAAGTCAAAGACTTGGCACTCATTCCCTAATCCTACTTGGTACTAGGGCCTGTACCCAACTCAGTCCTGGAGTCTGCCTGCCTTCTCTATTTATCAGCATGGTCGGGGATGCATCTTGACTTGGACATGGCTGCAAAATTGTAGCTCTCAGAAGAAAACCACATGTTCAAAATCACAGAGAAATTTCTTTATTTTCTTAAATTTTTCGGTTTTCTTTTTTGCTTTTTTGTTTTTATTTTTGTGCTTGTGTGTGTGTTCTTTTTAGTTTATTGGGAATTGTTTCCTTTTCTGTCTCCTTTCCTTTTCTCTTTTCTTCTTCACCGGTTTATTGGGGCTTAAAGAATTTTCCTTTGTCCTTCTTCCTTGCTTCTTATTTATTTTTCTTAATTCTGTTTCTCCTTTTTATTTAATTTTCCTCTTCTCCTTTTCTTTCCTGGTACCAGGGATTGAACTCAGGCCCTTACACTCACGATGCAGGCAGTGGAACCACTGAGCCAAATGCCTGGCCCTCCTCTTCTCCCTTTTAATTTTTCTCTTTAATTTTTTATCTTATTTTACTCTCTGTATAACTTATTTATTTTTCTTCTTCTTTTTCTTTTATTTTTTATTTCTCATCAGTTTTTTTTCTTCTCTTTACCTAATTCTATAAAAATACTTTTACTGCCAATAAGATCCTCTGTATCATCTCTCTCCTCCTTCTCATATCATAGTTTAAGGTTTCCAAATTTTCCTCTTGCTTTCTCCCAGTCTCAAATCCCTTTTCATTAATAATTTGACCATATATTTTCATTAATATTTTAATAGTTAACTCTGTAAAATTATTTGAAATATTTTCTACAATTAGCAGGGGTATAGTGGATTCATTTAGTCATATCAGCTGTACATCAATACCTGGTTGTCTTAATTTTTACATCATCATTGATGATTTCTTCTATAGGGTTAAGGGTGGTATACAATTGCTTCTTATGGCCTATTAATGTCCAATTTGCCTTGGACAATGATACTGTCATTTATTCACTTGATATTAACAGGGTTGTAAACTTGTCACTATTTCTCTGTAAGCCAAATATCAGATTAATTTTGGGACATTAACAATACTATAGTACACTCCCAGAGAACTTGGCTGTAGGGTTAACTGCACTGCATCCACACCTCCCAAATTAACCAAGATAGTCAGATTTTGGGTCTGTAGCAAAGAATTAATATTACCCATGCCCAAAGAACATCACTGAAAAGCAACTAAAGAGATCTCTATACAAGCAACAAAGTCTTTAGATTATAAGCATCCAAAAAACTCAGCACAAAACAAAACAATAGAAACATGAGAAGACAAGGCAATAAAATGCCTTCTGAAATTCCCACCTTCCCTAAAGCCAATTCAGGGGCCACCAAGGAGCAGAAAAACATGAGCCATATGCCTGAACTAATCAAAAGGATAAAAAAGAAGTTTAGAAAACAGATCAAACAGGTACTCAGTGGGATCAGAGAAGATGTAATTAAAAAGATAATGGAAGTGACAACTAGAACATATAGGGGCTCTCAGAAGACATCAACAAAAAGCTAGATTAGCTAAACAAAATGATACAACACATGAATGACCAGTTACCAAAGAATTAGAATTCATAAAAGGGTTTCAATCAGAAATCCAGGATATTAAAAATCGTATGAAACTATGGGCAGAATAACTGACAAATGTAAGGACAGAATTTCAGAACTAGATGACAATGATACCATCAAAGACAAACTACTCAAACACACCTTAAAACAACAAGAGAAAATGAAAGATGGATCTAACAGCCATTAGATGACACAAAGAAGACTAATTAAGCATAACTGAAATAAGTGAAAAATCAAAAGACAGCACAAATGGCATTAAAAAAAAACTTCCCTAAAGGAATGACAGAAAACTTTCCAAATGTAGGGAAAGAAATTAACATACAGATAAGTGAGGCATATAAAACCCCAAATCTCCGCACCACATTATACTCAAAATCCAAGAAACCCATCTAAGGGACAAAAACCTTAAAAGCTGTTAGAGAAAGAAAGCAAATCACATGTTAAGATGAAACTATTAGAATTATAACAGATTTCTCAATCCAAAATTTAGAGGCCTAGAAAACTTGTTGTGATATTTCTCAAGCACTAAAAAATAGCAACTTCCAAGCCCAATTTATGCATTCTGCAAAACTTTCCTTCAAATTTGATGGAGAAATAAGGTATTTCCATGACAAGGAGTACCTCAAGAAATTCATGACCACCAAACCATCACGACAAAAAATTCTCAAGGATAGTCTAGAAAGAGACATGGATCTAACAATGCCAAGTCAAAAGAATGAATACACCTAGTGGGATGAGCAGCTAAGCAAAACCACAAGTAGATATCCTAATCTCATACAAAGTGTATTTCAAGCCAAGACTGATCAGAAGATACGAAAAAGATCACAACATCTTGGTTAAGGGAATAATTCAAAAGGAAAGGATAGTAATTATAAATACACATGCAACAAATACCAGTGTACCTAACTTCATAAAACAGACACTAAAGGACATGAAAAATTAGATTAACACCAATAAAATTGGAGTGGGGAACCTAAATACCCTACTGTCACAAATGGACAGATCAACTAGACAAAAAACAACAAAGAAATATCAGAGTTGAATCAAACTGTCAAACAAATGAAATTAATAGAAATCTACAGAGCATTCCATCCAAAAACAACAGAATACACATTCTCTTCCGCTGCACATGGTACTTTCTTCAAAAGAGACCACAACCATAAAGCATTCTTAAGTGAAAAAGAATCAAAATTATCCCATACATAATATCAGATCATAGCGCAGTTAAACTACCAATCAATGGCAAAAGACAGACACCACAGAAACTATGAAAACATACGGAAATGAAATATCTTTATAAATAATAGATCAGAGATGAAATTAAATAAATTATATAGTTCCTATAATCCAATGATAATACCAGTACAACACACAGGAACCTTTGAGGTACAATGAAATCAGTCCCAAGATGGCAGTTTGTAGCAGTGAATTCTCACAACAGAAAAACAATGAGCTCAAATAAATACCCTAATGATGCACCTCAAGGTCCTAGAAAACCAAGAACACTTTAAATGGAAAGCTAGTATGAGAAAGGGAATTATAAAGATTAGAACAGAAATTAATGAATTAGAGACTAAAACTAATGTAAAGAATCAATGCAGCAAACAGTCGAATCTTTGAAAGATTAAACAAAATAGCTAAACCCTTAGCCAATTGTGATAGTTAAGTAATGATGTCAATTTGAGTAAGAAACGCCCAACTAAATTGGATAAGCATAGTTGTGAGTGTGGCTGAAGGGATTTACTGTGGCTAAGGAGATTTACTGAACACAGGACCCACCCTAGGGCAGCTTGTCACCTGAGGTATAAAGGGGAAATGAAGAAATAAAGATCACTTCTGTTTCTTCAGGGGAGCCTCACCTTGGAGATCTTTAGCCTTCCAACACAGAGTCTTCATCCTCCTGATATCAACTTGCACGGGACACTACAGTGGGCTCCAGGTCTTCAACTTGATCCTGCAGATCTCCAGCACTCAGACAAATCTTTCACACTCTTCCACACCTCACTCTGCGGGTGATCACTGTAAGCCAATCTTGAAAATTCATATATATTTGTATGTCTTGCTTTAAATGTTTCTCTAGTAAGCATTGACTGATATACCAATCTTACAAAAATAAGGAAGGAAAACACTCAAAAACATGCAATCAGAAATGAAAAAGGTAAGATAACTATGGATTCTGCCAAAATCCAGAAGATCATCAGTAACTACTTTGAGAACCTGTAATCTATAAATTCCTAGATTCATATGAACTACCAAAGCTGAACCAAGAAAATATAAAAATTTTGAATAATCCAATATTAGTCAATGAAATTAAAGAAGTAATAAAACAAACTACCAACTAAGGAAGCCCAGGACATTGCTGGACTCTATAATAAGAACCTTAGAGAAGATCTAATGCCAATATAATGCATACCCAAAGTCAGTAGCTTAGCAGGAGACAAAAACAACAGCATTCCTGTACATCAGTAGCACATCACCAAGAGCGACATTAAGAAAATAATACCTTTTACAATAACATCCAAACAATGAAATACTTAGGGATTAATAAGTGAAAACTGTACAGTGAAAACTATAGTGCTGTGAAAAAAGGTCAAAGAGGCTATCAGAAAATGGAAAGATATCCTTTATTCCTGGATAGGCAGAAGTAATATATTGAAAATTAACAGTCTTCCAAAAGTATTATACAGATTTAACACAATCTCAATCAAAATACAAATGGAATTCCTTACAAAACTAGAGAAAGGAATCCTAAAATGCATATGGAACCAGAAGAGACCTAGAATAGCAAGAGCAATTCTGGGCAACAAAGGCAAGAGAGCATCACAGTCTCAGACTTAAAGTCATACTACAAAGCTACAGTGGCAAAAACAGCATGGCCCTGCAAAGAAAAAACAGACTTTTGTGGATCAGTGGAATACAGTAGAGGATTCAGAAACAACTCCAGGCACACTCAGCTGCCTTATCTTTAACAAAGGTGTTAAATAACTTTTTCTGGAAGAAAGATAGCCTCTTTAACCAATGCACTTGGGAAACTGCCTTTCACATGCCAAAGATTTCACCTGAATTCATATTTCTCATCATGCACTGAAATAAAATCAAAATGGATCAAAGTTCTAAATATTAAAATAGAAACACTTTACCTGCTAGAATACAAAATAGATAAAACTCTTAAAGACAAAGACTTTCTGAACATAACCCCGTTTGCACAAGAAATAATACCAATAGTCTACAAATTAGATGACATCGAATTAAAAAGCTTCTGGATAGCAAAGGAAACAACCAATAGAATGAAGAGGAAACCTATGGAATGGGAAAAAAAAATTTACCAGCCATTCTTCAAAGAAATAATATAGAAAATATATAAAGAACTAAAGGGCCAGGGATTTAGCTCAGTGGTTCCATGCCTGCCTCGCAAGCACAAGGGACCGAGTTCAATACCAGGCACCAAAAACAAACAAACAAACAAAAAATAAACCTGAAAATAATTAGACCCCAAAATTTAAAGACCCAGTCCCAAATTGGGCATCTGAAATGAGTAGACACTTCTCAGATGAAGAAATACAAATGACCAATATATACATGAAAAAAATGTTCACCACTTGCTATTCATGAAATACAAATTAAAACAGTGAGATTCCATCTCACTTCAGAAAGAAAGACTTTCATCAAGAAATCAACCAATACCAAATGCCACAGAAGCTGGGGGCAGAGTAAGTAACCCTTCTTCATTGTTGATGAGAGTGTAAACTTATATATCCACTATGAAAATCAGTATGGAGATTTCTGAAAAACTAAAAATAGAGATATCATTTAAACCAGTTATTCATTCCCCTTCTAGGTATCTTTGTGAAAGAGTAGAATCACACCACAGTTATGTATACATACCCATGTTTATAGCAGCACTGTTTATAATAGCTAAATCTTGGAAGCCACCTATATGTGCTTCAACAGACAAACGGATAAAGAAAATGTGGTGTTTATACACACTGAAGTACTATTATGCCATCAAGAAGGATAAACTTCAGCCATTTGTACAAAAATGGATGCACCTTGAGATCATAACTTCAGTGAAGTAAATGAGATGCACAGCTTAAATATTGCATGGTTTCTCATATGATAAGTGCAATATATAAATAAATACAAAATAAAAGACAGACAAAAGGTAAAAAGAGAAAAGCAATATTGTACATCAGCATAGACAATGTATCTAATAATGTACCTTGATTTAGTATAATTGTCATGTGTTTAGATGCGTTTTGGTCTGTTTATCAGGTTATTAATCTGTATTATGATGATTAATTTTATAAGAACTTATAAATAAATGATTCTGATGCTGGCAAAGGGGGAAGTTGGAGGATATAAAAAAAAGAATTGAGATGTGTTATGTGCATATACCAATTCTCCCCATGAATGTAGTGAAAAATACGGCAAATATTTAAATTTTTAAAAATTTGTTACAGTAAAAGGTACACTGCTATTAATGTACCTCAAGATACTCCCCTCACCTTGCAAATAGTTCATACCACTTGGTGAAGCAGTTCTAGAAGCCCTCTTTCCAGGTGTCTTGTCATAAGGTGGATGAAGACACACTGTAATGGTTTTATTTATCTGCCTTTCCATTGGATGGCACTTGGCAGCAGCATTCTCCTTTTTTTTTTTTTTTTTTTTTTTTGGGGGACCTTGTGCTTGCGAGGCAGGTAGTGGAACCACTGAGCTGAATCCCCAGCCCTTTTCCATATTTTTTATCACACCATGCAGAGACATTTATGACACTTTGCAAATAACTGCTTCAGAAAGTAGAAATGTGTAACAGGATAAGTATGTTTGAAACAAGGGAGAATATTTTGAGGGGGTTAGCAGTAATGTATGTATTTGTATTGTAATAAATTTCCACTTTATATTTTTATCACATCTTTTATAAATTTGGGGACACCAAAATTCAGACTATAACACTTACTATTCTTTAAATAAGGAGTACATGAAACTGTAAGAAGTAAATGTCATCTGAAATTGCACTACTTTGTAATAACCTATATCAGGATCTGGCTGAGCACAATTATGTTTCTTTTTTGCTACCATATGTAAGAATACCATGTATCATTATATATTAAATTATCTTCTCTAACTCCCACCCTACAAATGCTATAGATGGAAATAAGAGAGAAGATTGTTTTTTACAAAAAATGGGATTTTATGATGCATACTTCCTTGCAATTTACTCTTCTCACTTGAAAATACATCGTGAAGGCTGGAGGCACATCTCCATGGTAAAGTGCTTGCTCAACAAGCAAAAGGCAATGGATTTTATCCCCAGTGCCGCAGAAACAAATAGAAACCTACAAGATTACAGGCAGCCATCTACTTTGCTCTTTTTCGTAAGTGCATGATAAGCCATTATATAAATATGCCATTAGCTTATTAAATGATCCCTCTAAATGCCATAATCCTACAATCTCATCACACAAGAGGCTGAGGCAGGAAGACTGCCATGAGTTTGAGGCCATTCAGGGCTACATAGTGAGACCCTTTCTCAAAAAGCAAAATAATTGAGAGCTCTGTGCAGGAACATCCCCAGGTGGAGGCCCTGTGTAGGATCGGAAACGGCCATCCAGAATGAAGGTCCTAGTCCCAGGGGCGGCCAATGACTGGGCACTGAGGCTAGGACCGCCTGAGGCCGCGGAGATCTCTGGAGTCCCAATGCCACCTGGTCAGCAGCGATGGCACTGAGCCTTTGTCCCGACACTGCACCCACTGTCCATCTCCTCCCTGGTACCAGCCAGACCGGGGTGGAAGAAGATGTCAACTTGCCACCTGAAGGGTCCTCATAAACTATGCAGCTAAAGAAGGAGATCTCCCTGCTGAATGGGGTTAGCCTGGTGGTGGGCAACATGATTGGCTCAGGGATTTTTGTCTCTCCCAAGGGGGTGCTGCAACACTGCGTCCTACAGGTTGTCACTGGTGTTGTGGGCCATGGCTGGACTCTGCCGTGGGTGCCCCTTGTTATGCGGAGCTGGGGACCACCATCACCAAGTCGGAGGCCAGCTATGCTTACATTGTAGAGGCCTTTGGGGGCTTCCTTGCCTTCATCCGCCCGTGGACCTCCCTGCTAATTGTTGAGCCTACCAGTCAGGCCATCATTGCTGTCACCTTCGCCAACTGCATCATCCAGCCCTCCTTTCCCACCTGTGGTCCCCCATACCTGGCCTGCCATCTCCGTGCTGCTGCCTGTGTATTTCTGCTGACATTTGTGAACTGTGCCTACATCAAGTGGGGCTCAGGAGTACGGGACATGTTTACGTATGTCAAGGTCCTCGCACTCATTGCCGTTGTTACCATGGGCCTTGTTAAACTGCCAGGGACACTGAACACTTTTAAAACACCTTTGAGGGTTCCTTCTGGAATGTGGGAAACCTCTCTCTCTCTCTCTCTCTCTCTCTCTCTCTCTCTCTCTCTCTTCTCCTCTCTTACCCCTCTCCCTCCTGCCTTCTCTCCCTAAGGAGTAAACCTAGGACCACTGTGCTAAACTGCCCTGCTAGCCCTTTTTTAATTTTTAACTTTACAGGTTGGGATACCCTTAATTTTGTAACAGAAGCAATCAAAAACCCATAAAGAAACACGTGGCTATTGGGTCTCTATGCCAATTGTGATGCTGATCCACAACCTGACCACTGTGGCCTATTACACAGTGCTGAGCATTTCTGAGATCCTTGACAGCGATGCAGTCGCTGTGACATTTGCTGACCAGACGTTTAGCAAGTTCAGCTGGATCATCCCCATTGCCATCGCCCTGCCTTGCTTTGGGGGCCTCAACATATCTACCTTTCTTCATCGAGATTGTATTTTGTGGGCTCCCAAGAGGGCCATCTCCCAGATCTTCTGTCCATGATCCATGGTGCGCATTTTACTCCCATCCCTATTTTAATGTCCAGTAGCACTATGATGCTCATCCACCTCTTGTGGAGGATGTTTCCCTGCTCCTCAACTACCTCATCTTCTGCTGCTGGTTCTTTGTGGG